TTATATATATATATATATATATATATATATATATATATATATATATATATATATATATATTAGGGGTGCACTGATTGCAGTTTTCTTGCAGTTTTCTGACTGTTCACCGATCTCTAAAAAGTCTGACCTGCCGATTCCAATTTTGTTTAACAAGAGACACTGTCAAGGGTTAAGGTCAAAGTACCTTCAATTTTCCAATATTTTATTGAAAAACATACCCTTGAACAATATCCTAGAAACAATACAAACTTGTTTTAACTGGCCATGAGATAGTGCTCTGAAATATAAATGAAGTTCAGACAATTGTTGTTAAAACTAAAAAAAAATTCTGTAAAATCGGTTTCTCGTGAAAGTATCAGTCGATCTCTGATCTCCCAAAATTAAAGAAATCAGGGCCGATTTATCCGTGCACCCCCAAAATATATTGTAAAAAAGATATTGTATTGATATATAGTTATATTGTAATATTATATATTACAATATTATTACGATAACCCCAACTCATTGTTGCAGGAAGCCATGAAACAGCGCCTCTGTATCCCCCCTCCCACACAGACACAAGGCAAACCAAACCAGCACTGGTCATCCATCCATCCATCCATTTTCTTTACCCGCTTATTCCATTTTGGGTCACAGGGGTTGCTGGTGCGCATGTCCAACAATCACTGAGCGAGGGGCGGGGTACACTCTGGACAGGTCACAAGTCCATCACAGTGCCACAGAGACAAACAACCATTCACTCTCTCACTCACACCGAGAGACAATTTAGAGTTACCAATCAGCCTAACAAGCATGTTTTTGGTCTGTGGGAGGAAACCGGAGAAAACCCAGCATGCACCGAGAGAACATGCAAACTCCACCCAGAAAGGCCCCTGGACCGGGGTTTGAACCAGGGACCTGCTCGCTGAGAGGCAGCAGCTCTACCAGTTGTGCCACCGTGCTGCCCCAAGCACTGGTCAAATGCGGGACATTTCATTATGAGGGACGCATGACAATGATTGCTAAACCCGTGACTGTCCCACCAAAATCAGAACAGTTGGCAAGTATAATTCAAAACTGATTTACATCTAATGATAACTTTCTGCCCTGTGATGGACTTGCGACCCGTCCAGGGTGTACCCCGCCCCTCGCACAGTGATTGCTGGACATGTGCACCGGCGACCTCCATGACCCAAAAATGGAAGAAGTGGGTAAAAGATAATGGATGAATGGATTACTTTCTGAAAGTTAGTTTAAAATCAACCCACTGTTTTGACTTTCATCAAAATATTTCATGACCCAAACAATCATGCACACAGACACAAGCAAATCATTACTGCCCGTCTTCAGCCAGCAGTCATACCTGTGTGTTACAGGTCTGGCAGTACTGTTTTAGATGTCCTGGAGTGATGTCCATGTCTTCGTAACACTGCACACACTCCCACTCGGCTACAGACTGGCAGATACTGCACTGTCTGAGAGCTGCAAGCAGGTAAAAGACAAACAGCAGTAAATGTAATCAGCTTGCAACTGCCACAAAGAGCAAAAAACACAGCCTGACATCTGAAATTCTCTAGACTAACGTCAACACCGGGTATATTTGTTCTTACCGTCATCCAGCAGGTCTGTGATGTCCAGACTGAGAGTGGGTAAAATGGCGTCAAACATTTTAAAGTCTCGTCCAAACCTAGGCATGAGCAGCAGCAAACAGGAAGGAGCCTGGTGGCAAATGAAAGCACAGTTTCTCTAAACATTGAGCTGGACTTCCCAAAAATAATGATAGAATAAACAGTTGAAACAAGAGATTTGTCTTGTTTGTGTTGATTTATTGTGTTATAGCAGCTCATTCATTTATACCTTTCAAATATCTGCGTCGTGTCCCCCCCCCCCTCACATTTAAAAAATATTCATTTGGATGCCCCCCACATTTATAATGAAATATTAGTTCACCCATCGCTGTTTCCATTTCTTCATGAACAAATCCATTCCATTTGATAAATAGAAGAATACTCAAACCACTAAAAATCCACTCCGGGTTTTTCTAGTTACCTACAACTCACCACACGCAGCGTTTCCCCAAGGTCACTTGGCTTGGCAGGACGCTTACGGGTGTAGAAGGGGGAGACAACTCTGTGTTGCACACTAGCTTAGTGCTACGTCAGTGCTGACAGTTGTTGACAGGGGTGGGGGGGTGGGGGGTTAGGATGCGTGAGAGAAGCGGAGTGTGCTCTATTCACACAAGGAGAGCTGTTGGTCAGGCAACTTCTTGTTGTGCCGAGCTCTTTAAAAAGTTATTGAATCAAGTGTTTACATATGTAGGTAAACATTAATGTTTAAGAACCCGTCAAAACACACCAGAATGCAGGAAATGGCATTTACTTTAATCAAAAAAAAAAATTATTTGGGGGATGGGGGGGAGATCCCAAGACACTAATCCCCACACACCTTACAAATACTTCTGATACAAATGGTTAAAATGAAATGTTCCTATTTATAGGTATTCATAATACACTTTTCATCTGCAAAATATTAAATGTCCTTTTGTAATCAGTCCTAAACTGATATAATTTAGCATCCACAACATCCAGCTCAGCTTTTACCTCATAGGCTAGGAATAAAAAAAGCAATCGTTTTTTTATTTTTTTATTTGTGGAAGCGATTTTTCAGAGAAACAACAGCCATCTTTTTATAAAAATAAAAAAAAAATCTCAACAGAAACCATATGTTTTGTTCTGATGGGAAACAACTCTTTCCAACAACAAAACTGGCAGCGGTGGCCACAGCTAACCAACAAGTTAGTTCGCTAACCCATATTCCGCTAACCAAAAAATGTGTGAAAGCTAACACTAAACCACTAATCGCTTAGTTGACTGTCACTCAGTTTACGTCAAACGTCTCGTCTCCTTCCAGTAGAAACTGTGCCAACCAATCACATCTTTTCACGTGTGCACGTAAGCCAATAGTGTGCCTAACGGACTCTCCAGGACACGCCCACAACAGACAGGAACAAGCTTGTGAATTTTGTAAGCGGACTCATAGTTGGCGAAACCTAATTTAGCGGGAGTTAACTCTTAAGGGTTTCCAAAGTTAGCAAAAACGCTAATCTGCTAAACAAAAAAATCTGTTCCGCTGTTAGCAGATTAGCAGAACTCGGCCCACCACAGAAAAATGGGCATTACCTCGACAAACTTGAGGCCGGAGTGATGGAACGAGGACTCCAGCAGGGCCTGAACGCTGGCGACCCTCATTAACGACGCAGACGAGATGGGAATGGGAGAGTCAGGAGCAGAAAGAGACGAGGTTGGTGAGGAGGGGTGGGTTGGTGGGAAGAGCTGATAGAGATGAGACTCCTGAGCCTGCTGAGTCATTGATCTGAAGCACACAAGTGACGAAAAACAATATGAAGACTGAAGAGTGGTCCATTTAAAAAATATATTACTTTTTTATACCCTGAAAAGTTAAAAACATTCAAGGAACGCTGAATAATATTAGTAAAGCGTAATTGCGACATTATAGAATATTGTTAAATTGTTAATTTCATTAATCGCTCAATCAAAATGTTCATCATTAACCCACACTTTGCTCACTCTTCTTTTATTAGAACACTCTCCATGAGCTTCAACATCTAAACTTTCTGTGAACCAATTAAAACAATGACACGAAGTCAGCATTAGTTATTTATTGCAACATTTTGTATAATTTATAATGGGAGGATGATAAAATTTTGAAGAGTTCCGCAGTACTCTAATTTAAAGCTAGAATGAATAAATAAATAAAAATTAATTAATTAGAGATATAATAAACACGGTCCAAAAATTTGTGTGACAAATTTTCTCTTAATATAATTGTTACAATACAGTTGTTGTGTTTCAAACTTATTTCAAACCAATCTCAATTGAGTATCTAAATTCTTTAGTATGCATAGGCGCCGCACAATTATATGTGAAGGGGATGTGTCCCCTTCACATATAAAAAATAGTTGTTTGGAACCCCCCCCCCCACCTCCACCCACCCCCCCACACACACACATTTACCATGAAACATTAGTTCACCCAGCGCTGTTTCTATTTATTCATGAATGAATCCATTCCACTTCATTAATAGGAAAATACTCAAACCACTAAAAATCCACTACGGGTTTTCCTGGTTACCTACAACAACTCACCACACAGCATGCAGTGTTTCCCTGAGGTCACCTGACGGGATGGGTGGAGGAGGGGGGAGACACCTCGGTCTTGCATGCTAGCTTAGCGCTAAATTAGTCCTGACAGTTTTTGACCAGTGGTGGTGGTGGTGGGGGGTTAGGATGCGTGAGAGAAGTGGAGCGCTGCATCTGTAGCTTCTTAGCTAGTACATTCGTCCGTCCGTCCATCTGTCCGTAGCCATGTTTACATGCCCAAAATTCTTTGATCGGATTGAAATGTATTTGGATTAAATAATCCAAATGTATCGTTTACATGGGCACAATTTGTTCACGACAAGCGATTACATGCAGCGGGTTTTTATTCAGAACAGAAGTACTGACATGCGCAGAGTAGAAAACTTTCCTTAAAAAACACAGAAGTAGTTCTACTTCCAGCTTGAATGTAAACAAACCTGAGTGCTCAAATTGGACCCACATCAGGTTTTAATGAAGGTGGAGACGTTACTGCACTCCCTGACAGAGCTACAGGTGATACAGATCATTTTGAGCTCTTTCAAAGTTTCTAGAAGAAATGTTTTTGCTCACCAACCAGTTTTACTTCCACGACATATTAGCATCTACCCAGGCAGAAATACGTGAGGTTGACAGGTTAGGTCGCACATGCGCAGTCAGGTCAATTTTTCACAATCGGAATAAAATGATCAGATTAAGTGTTTACATGCACACCATTCAGATTATGAATCGGCATAAACTACCCCTCTCATTAGCTATGTTTACATGGATATAAGTAATCGGATTAAAAGGCCATTCGGAATAAAAATGTGTCATGTAAACGCCCCATTCCGAGTATTGTTTGTTTATTCAGCTCAATCCGAAAGAATTTGTGATCAGAACGAAACAGGTGGTTTACGCTGATTTATAATCCGAAAGATGTGCATGTAAACACTTAACCTGTTCATTTTTTTTCCAATTGTGAAAAACTGACCTGACTGCGCATGTGCGACCTATGTCATTTCTGCCTGGCTAATGCTAATAATATTAGCATGTCGTGGAAGTGAAACTGGTCGGTGAGCGACAACATTTCTACTAGAAACTTTGAAAGAGCTCAAAATGATCTGTATCACCTGTAGCTCTGTCAGGGAGTGCAGTAACGTCTCCACCTTCATTAAAACCTGATGTGGGTCCATTTTGGGCGCTCACGTTTGTTTACGTTTATCACAAAAGTAAAACTTCTTCTTCTGTGTTTTTTTTAAGGAGAGTTTACCACTCTGCGCATGTCAGTACTTCTATTCAGAACAAAGCCCGCTGCATGTAAACACTCGTCGTGAACAGATTGAGCCCATGTAAACGATACATTTGGACTATTTAATCTGAAAACATTTCAATCCAGTCAAAGAATTTTGCACATGTAAACATAGCTATTCGGATTACAAATTAATTTGGATTGAGCTGAATCAACAAAGAATAATCCGAATGGGGCGTTTACATGACGCATTTTTATTCCAAATGGCCGTTTAATCCGATTACTTATGTCCATGTAAACATAACTAGTCTATCTACCATATTTTCCGTCATACATGTCGCACCGCCTTATAAGTCGCATTAGTCCAAATATGTCTAATAAAGTGGAAAAATCCATAAATAAGTCACTTCAGTGTACAAGTCGCAGGGCATGTAAATTATGCAAAAAACTGTGACTTATAGGCCGAAAAATACGGTATCTATTTTGTTAGTGCTGGCAGTTGTTGACCGGGGGGAGGTGATGACCAGTGGGGGAGGGGGTTGTAAGGATGTGTGAGAGAAGCAGAGCATGTTCTTTTATTTTTTCATTTTACATTTTCCTATGAAAATTTTAAGTCAACTAGTCTCCAGCAGTCGCAGGTCTGCGAGACACGACCCCTTAATAATGTCCCAGCTCACAAACCCCGCTAATCTTTGTTTAAAATAGGTCTCTCTTGTAAATGAGTCCCCAAGGCTCAGAGACTAACCTGAATAAATAAAGGTTGAATGAATTTATGATAAGTACTGTTCAAAACATTCTCAAGCAAGCACATTTTTATGTCTTATATGTGAAATCAAAGTCAGACTTTGCCATAAAAGTGTGAACTTAAGTGAACGTTTGCAGGTCTCAGCTCTGTTACTTTGTCTCAGAAGAATGCAGGAAATGCAAGAAAGTAATGGTGATGATGCAACCTTAAGTAACTTCAGGTTTTAACCACAGCAACAAGATTAAAGATGAGAAGCAGGTCTGTGCAATGAATCAACAGGGAATGTGTGTATTCACTGAAAACTGAGTGAAAGTAAAACAATCATTTGTGAACCACATAAAAAACTGTGCTGAGCTGCAGCTTCACGTTGTGCATGAAGACAAAATCAAGTGAACACTGACCTGATTTTGAGGAGCGGCTCCACTCTCAGGAGCTGGAAAAGCTTGTTGAGGAACTCTTCTGGATCTGACAGAATAGGACGAGAGTAGTGTGATGGCATTCCTCAGCTTCACAACCAAGGGGTGAAAAAAATGTAACAAAAACAAGCGAGTAGAGGAGCGGACACATTTCCAAACACACCTTTCTCCTGGCTGGTGAAGCCCATGTTACTGTTCGCAGCTTCCAGCAGTCGCCGCAGAGCCATGGTCTTACTGGCACACACGTAACCAAACCTTCAACACACACACACACACACACACACTTTAGAAAAAGTTTTATCTGATGATCTGATGAGTAGCTGCCTTTAAGTTTAGGAATTAATTATATTTTTAGTGGCAGTGATAGGTCAGATCCTAGAATAAAAAAATACAATATTTATTGAAACAATTATTGTAAGACCTGCTGTATAAGCAGAAACAGCATTCAACATAAACACACCTTCTGAGCGGGTTGACAATCTCACAGCGGAGCAGGTCCTGAGCCTGTTTGGACCGTGGGTCAGTTTCTGCGTCTGACGGCCAAAATAACGCCCAGTCTGCTGAACTGCAGCAGGAAAACAGACTGGACACAAAGAAATCTAATATTTATTTTACACTAAATCTAATGCACTGAAAACATGTCAGGGTGAACAAAAATGTGTTATCAGAGTTCCTTTTTGATGGTAAATGGTAAATGGACCGTACTTATATAGCACCTTTCTATCTTATCGAGATATTCAAAGCTCTTTACAACACAATCTGTGTCCTCATTTACCCATTCATACAGCACTCTACTAGATCTCTACAAAGAATAATCAGAGCTTTATCACATTCATACACTGATAGGACACATATCGGAGGCAACGAGGGGTTCAGTGTCTTGCCCAGGGACACTTCGGCATGTGACTGTTGGTGGATTCCAACCCCCAACTCTTGCATTGGAGGACGACTGCTCTAACCACTCAGCCACAGCCGCCCATTTCTAATTTCTATTTTATTACATACTCGTTCATATCATTTTACTTGGTACATTTTACATCCAAGAGCTGAAAATGCTTTGCGTTCTTTAAAGACTTCACCTGAAGAGCGTAGCATCCAGGTAACAGGAGTTCAGGTGACCTTGAATGCCTCTCTTGGAGCCCTCGTAGAGCTGCCTGGCCTCGTCCCCCTCCACAGGGGGGCTGTGCTCCTCCACACGCTCACTGACCCACTCTGCAAAGGCTGTCACACAAAAACACACACACACACACACAGAGGATGGTATTACATAAGAGAAAAGCATATGACACATTATATATGTGAGTTGACAAAGTATTATACAGCAATCTATAGCAATTGCCCAGAAAAGCAGACTTTGAAAAACATTTGACCTTGGTTTGTGACCTTGACCTTAAATCTCATGGGATGAAAAGTATATGATACCCACTGTATTGTGGTGGTACAAATGTGTATAAAGATTCAATAAATTATCTTGAGCATATCAGAAGTTACGGGCAAATCAAGAAAACGTTTATGTACATTCTGACATACGGCACTTGTGAAGGTTTTAATATGCTACAAACATCTCCATTTGCAACTGGGTCCTAGACTTCTTAACAGACCTCAGTCTGCGAGGATCCACAACTTCTCCTCCTCCATCATAACCCTCAGCACTGGCTTCCCTCAGGGATGTGTGCTGAGCCCTCTCCTGTTCACTCTGCTCATGTATGACTGCGCACCACCTACCCATCCAGGCTGTCATATTGTAAAGTTTGCAGATGATACAGCGGTGGTTGGATGCATCACAAACAATGATGAGTCCAGCTACAGGCAGGAGGTGGAACACCTGGAGAGCTGGTGCAAGAAAAATAAAACCTTCACATCAATGTGAAGAAGATGAAGGAGTTGATCGTGGACTTCAGAAGGAACAACTCCCCCCCC